AATTAATTCTTTTAAAAAACTTTTATCAATTATTAAATTCCTGTCAAACGGAGGTCAAATCTTGCACCTAGTTTATATACACCAAGAGAAAATATATAATGATGATAAGAATGTGGAAGTTTATTCAAAATAAATCATTATTTCCTAAAGGAATCAGAATGTCTATATAGACAGCCTTTTGGTGTTTTATAGCCTGACTCATGTTTAATGTTCACTGACAGCATATATCTTTGAGTCATTTATTTCATAACCATACAGCGGTCACTGTCGATTTCTTTTCTATCCATTCCCGGTCATCAAAGCACACATTTTTCACACTGTGGGTTTCTGAGTGCAAAACAGGAACAGTGCAGGGGCACAGTGAGTGGTCTGGTTCTCAACTAGCTGCTCAGCCTAAGATTCCATGTCCTGACCTAGCCAGGCCGATCCCCTAAGCTCTGAGCATAAGCAGGGAAAATCAAGAGTTTACGGCCTAGTTCAAGGTCCAGTCTGGCAGAGCAGTTTACGTACTGTCTATGGCTGCACACATCCGGCACCCCATTCATTCATATACTGCCTCATATATTGCAGAGTCGAGTAGTTGCAAGAGAGACTGTATAGGCAGAGTCTAAAATATTTACTATGTGGCCCTTACAGAAAAAAAAAAAAAAAATTGCTGACTCTTGGTATAAACTACTGGTACTTCCTCTCAACTTGACCACTTCAAGTGTTATGACCATCAGAATATCTTAAATCCTTTCTGGAGAAAGACGATATAGAAAAATACATTCCGAGAGGGTAACTACGTCATGGTCTACTCCCTCCGGGTACAGAGCTCCATCATCTTGAGGCAGCTTTCCCCGCATTTCCACACTAGCACCTTTACTTATACCCTTTTCTTTGCCGTCATCCAAACAAGTCTAGAAACGAAACATCAGTTGGTCTAACGTAACACAAGATGTGTTTTGGGTAGATGTGAGCCATTGATCTCTTTGCCCATTGAGTCAAAAAGATTGGGGAGCCTGCAAAATTATGGGCGAGAGTTAGTGCCCCTTGTCCAGTCCTTAAACTGAGATAGGATCTAGTCTTCAAATGTCACATGCTGTGGGTCACCTGGGAGCACTGGACTAGCAAGGCTCACGTGATAGGGACAGATGCAACAGGAGCATAGCAAGGGATGGAGTGGGCTTCCTCATGTCACAGACCCTGCTTGCTCGTTACATATAAATGGGAGCCCTTTGTTTACTGCTCCCCCGCTCCGCCACTCAAGGTGATTAAATACCCTCGACATCTCCGGTGCTCACCACTTCACATGGTCTTAGCAAAAAAAAAAAAGATGCCTATGTTTCTGGTACGCCTTTTTTGCAAAATCAAAACCAAGGGCCAGATCTACCTTTTGCGTAGCAGTCCTCCCGCTCATGAAAAGCTTTCCATGCATGGATGGAAGATTGTGTATACATTCAGCCTGAGAACACAGTCAAGAAATACAAATTGGAGAGTGAAAGAAAGCTTTTCTCTCCATTAGATTATGTTCATCCTCTGGAGGCCAGCGAATAAACCAGCCACAGATACAGACACTTTATAAAAATTCAGGAAGTCCTGGTAAAAAGGGCTATAACCACTTCCTCCCATTTTTCTTTCATACCTGATCTCCTTGTAGCGTATGCTGGTCGAGGGGTGTCTTCGTGGCAATGTTGCTGTAGTAGGCATAGGACAGCTCCCAGTCCAGGGGGTAGTTATCAATACCTTGGTAGTGTTTGTACCCAAGATTCATTGAAGAAAGCCTCTCACTTCCCTGGCCTCCAACCAAACTATACAACATGCCCTGGTAGGAAGAAATTGACACTGTTCACAAGATTATAGATAAGGGTCATAAAATCCAACCATCTGGCCCCATCCCTATATATGAGCCTACTCATTCGAAACATATGCTAACATGCCTTTGAAAAAATCTTTAGAAAAGAAAGCACAACGGCTTTCTAATGGTTGACAGATTCCAAGTGATCTATCCTTCTAAATGTCTCATAGCTTAAAATTCCTTGACTTTTGCCCTTTTCTCAGTGAAAACACGGGCCTTCCCCCGACTTCTCTCACAGCATCTCTCTGGGTATCCGCTGGCTGTTGTAAGGATCCCTGGTCAGCTTCAGCTACAGTCTGACGGTCTGAAGAGCAGGCCATGTGACGACCTCACAGTCTCACAATGTTAGTGTTGGGAAGGGTCTTTTCAGATAGACCACCCTCATTTCACAGTTGAGAAAATAGAGGCCCAGAGAGGTGAAGTCATTTATCTATGGCCAACCAACCACTCTGTGGCAGAGACTGGGCTAGAAGCTTCTATAGTATTCCACCTTTGTGGGGATTGACTCGGACTCAGGAAAGCCGGCCATCAATCATGAGCTTCTATAAGCCAGAGACACACAAAGAAGTCACTGAAAAGGAAATGGAGCCATCTGGGTGTGTCTACACAGTACGAATCTCCAAATCCAGTGCGTGAATTTGAAAACTAAAAGGGATTAGGGGCCATTTAGTAGCACTTATAAAAATGTGATTCCAAATGTTAGGCAAGTTGCATAATAAATCTGGATCTGAAACCCAAAGTAAAACCTTCTGGTATGGCTTCTATTTGGACGGTAGAAGGCTGGATGCGACAATACTTGGCTTAGAGGACCAACTGACTTCACTTAACTAAAAAGTATTGGGATAATGGTCCCACAGCCAGAGTGGTATGAAACTTGAGTAAGAGATACCTGTCCTTGAAGGGCTGAGTTTCTGGTAAGCCCTGCCTAAATTATTCCTTCATGTATACTAATCACGTCCCCAAGACTAAGAGGGGAAACTGAAAGCAGGAGATACTGTGTTTAACACAGCCCTAGGATGTTTTTCTTGAGTGGAAAGATTTTTAAAGGGTTCCAGGGAGCGTGAACCTGTCGGGTTGCTCTTGAGACATGAGAGCATTACTCTGAAAATATGATGCGAGTGACTGATATCCTTGGAACCCATGAAATACTCTACCTGCAGCTGATCCCGAGGTACATTTAATCCAGTTTCATAAAAGACTGCGAGGTAGTAGGATGCTTTATGATAGCCACAGCAGCTGGAATCCATCAGGAAGGGGACGACAGAGCTAATTTGGTGAAGACCATCAACACTGGAGAGTCTCTCTATAGCCTTTTCAAATATCCTCCCGCCAATTCCTAATACAGATTCATTTTGGTTCCTCGGCACTGTAAATAACACAAGTCACAGCCCACACAATTAATTACCATGGGATCGACATGGCTTTAGAAAGAAGAAGGAAAGCCAATTAAACCATCTGAGTTATTAATATAGTCGGTTCCGCAGAACCTTGAAATATACCACCTTCCGGAGAGGTAAATCAAACCCTTTGGGGATGCCACGGTGTCGTTCTGTAAATAGCTTTTTCTTTGGCACCAAATGACAGCCTAGTATCCTAGGAAAAAGGATGTGCCTTATATAGCTGAGACAGCGCCTCGAGAGAGTAATTTACACAGTGTATCTCAGTGCCAAATCAGGACCACCGAAACTTCCAGAGAGACTTTTTTCCCTCTTAGACTCTTGGAAAAAAAAAAAATGTGTTTTATTTCAGAAATAATTCCTAGGTGCTGCTCTAAAAGTTGAGCAAAAGAACCATATTTTGAGATGCTTTCTTATCTTCTGCCTCTAGTTTTTCTCGGGGGTTTCTAAAAACAATTTCGAATGAGTCAACTTTTACTGAGGGTGTACGAAATGCCAAAGATTGGGTTAGGCATCTTATGTAAATTCTGTCACGTAATCGGAACCCTTTTACGAGGTAGGTGCTATTATCAGCATCCTCATTTTTTCAGATGAGGAGATTGAAGCCTGGAGAGGTCAACTGACCTGTCTAAAGTTACAAAAGCTGGCACGTGGCTGAGCCAAGCTCTAAATCCAGCTTTGCTGGTCAGGAAGGCCAGGGTTCCTACTCACTCTGCTTCACCTACCTCCTGATGAACAGGCTACCAATTGTCCTAATAAGCACCTTACCATCAAATTAGAGACCTCTTTACGCAACTGCTTTAAGCTATATGATACTTCTTTTGACCTAATCCTCGTATAAATCTGATAAACATTTTAAGCCTTTAAGCATTATAACGATCAAGTTATATGGTCGTTTCAAGTAAGTGTTAGTCTTCTAAAGTCTGTCTACATTATTCATCTCTCTTGTTTATTAATTTAGACAATGAGTGTTTACTTTCTATTTTACGTTGTTACCAAAGAGCACATAGCATCGAAGATACTATTTACATTTAAAGAGAAACGACCGATTTATTTCAGACTAAAATTTTATCTGCCTAAAAATTATGTCCAACATTTTTCTTTGATTTTTCTTCATTCTACCCCAAATTAAAATGTTATTAATGGCTTTCAGGAGGCCACAAGAGATTCACTCTATCAGCAGCACTCCATAAGGGAATGAAGAGACATGAGTTTTCGATGTGGAGAAACTTGAATGGGAAGCTCTGAGATGAGACCGAATTTATTTAAGGGCAATTCCCTCGCAGAGATCCAAGCTAAGCACAGAGACTAGTGGCATCCTGGTCTGTGAAACCCAAGCCATTCGTTACGAGTGGGTACACAGGCGGGCTGGGCTGGCTGCCCCTGAGAGGGGGGCATGTGTCTTTGCCCAGCTGTAGGGAAGGAGCCCACCCACACCTCCACCTATTGCTAAGAAGTCTTATCTCCTGCCTCCTGGAATTCCTCACCCCAGACCTCTTGGGGTTTCTGCTTTACACTTTCCATCTCAAGTGGTAGTTGCTGGGAAAAAAAATCACCTTAGTGAACAAATAGAATTTGCTCCTCTTTCTGTTTTTTTTTTTTTTTTTGATCCCTAAAAAAATAGCTTTGTAAAAAAAAAAAAAATCAAACAATGCATATTTTTAGAAAATAAAAACAGAAGTTCTCTCTCTCCTAATCCTTCTTAATAGCAAAGATAAATACTGTTACAAGCTTGGTGTGTTGTTTCTGGACTCCTCTTTTGCACGGACAATAATTCATATTCACATCTCTCTGCATATATACATGCAAGTTTTCTTCTCAAAAAACTCCTATAGATTCTGACCTTCAACTTTTAAAAATTAACCACACATCATGAGTGTCCATCCATGGTTGTCAGAAGCTCATTCTTCCTAAAGCTTCAATAGTATTGCATTCTATAGCAGGGCTGTTTTTTCTGCCCAGTTCTCTATTTTTAGACTGTTGGGTTGCTTCCAGGGGTTTTGCTATAACCAATAACATGTAAGTGAACATCTTTGAACATTTCCTTCTGCTCGTCTGTTGAGACATCT